AGAAAATGAAAAGATCGAGAAAAAAATATTTGGTCGACCGTACGGTCGGAACCGTCGGCCATCGGACGGACTGGCGCGCATTTTCGTCGGCCATCTGACGGACTGGCGCGCATTTTCGTCGGCCATCGGACGGACTGGCGCGCATTTTCGTCGGCCAGAACTCATGTAACCGTACTGATTCGATTTTTCTCGGTCCGTTTTCAGATTTTCCACGATAAAAACTCTTAAAATCGTGGTTAGAAGGTTTTCAGAGTGGGAGAAAATGAAAAAAATCGAAAAACAAATTTTGATCGACCGTACGGTCGGAACCGTCGGCCATCGGACGGACTGGCGCGCATTTTCGTCGGCCAGAACACATGTCACCGTACTGATTCGATTTTTCTCCGTCCGTTTTCAGATTTTCCACGATAAAAACTCTTAAGATCGTGGTTAGAAGGTTTTCAGAGTGGGAGAAAATGAAAAAATCGAAAAAAAAATTATGATCGACCGTACGGTCAGAACCGTCGGCCATCGGACGGACTGACGCGCATTTTCGTCGGCCATCGGACGGACTGGCGCGCATTTTCGTCGGCCAGAACACATGTCACCGTACTGATTCGATTTTTCTCCGTCCGTTTTCAGATTTTCCACGATAAAAACTCTTAAAATCGTGGTTAGAAGGTTTTCAGAGTGGGAGAAAATGAAAAAAATCGAAAAAAAAAATTATGATCGACCGTACGGTCAGAACCGTCGGCCATCGGACGGACTGACGCGCATTTTCGTCGGCCATCGGACGGACTGGCGCGCATTTTCGTCGGCCAGAACACTTGTCACCGTACTGATTCGATTTTTCTCCGTCCGTTTTCCGGTTTTCCACGATCAAAACTCTTAAAATAGACCAATAAAGAGTTTAGAATGACACTGGACACTCAAAAGCTCCCGAGGACCTCGGGCTGGACCGGGATCATCCGAGTTTGCTAAATTACAAAAGAAATAGTTAGAGTGCTCAGAAAATTCTGAAATTTTTACTGGAAGTAGTTTATATCACCCTTATGAAGCACGCAAAAAATCAGATTAAAATTCCATGTAGTTTTTTTTCTAGACCCCCAGTGACTGCTCAGACATTTCAATGTATACTGGTGGAAATCCCAAAAATGGCATAAGGTATATATAGGGGGGTGCGACTCTTTGGGGTTGGAATGGGCGTGGGATGGGTCGTACAGCGGGATGGGATGGGATGGGCTGCGATCGAGGGGATGGTGGTGCATGGTCGACGGTGTCCGAGTACCGGCTCGGCCGCCGGTCCGTCGCCGGGAAAATTTTCCGGCCAGTTTTCCGGCGACCCGATTTTTTTTTTCTCGGAGGGAATCGTCCGTGGCTCGATTGTTTTCGCGCTTGTGCGGCTTTGGCTCGGTTTTGTCCGTCTCTAACAGTTCTTTCCCTTCGGGAAACTGAATAGTTCTACGATTGACATTATCGGGTTTACTGACGTTCGGCGTATGAGTGGCGTTCGGATAGCTAGTGTTTGTAGGCTCCATGCTCGCGCATCCAACTACATACCTACTATCCGCCTCGGTTTCTTTCACGGGCATTTATTTCCTCGATGGACGGATCCGGGGCCGGTGTTGCGTACCTAACAGAAGGGAATTGTTGAGTTTGGCTTCCTCCGTTGTTCGCGGTTTCTGCTTGGCTGGGATGTCGCGAACACACAAGCCGGCACTTGTGATCCTCGCACCTTGGCATCGAACGATGCCTTGATCGCATAGGTGAATGAGCTGTCGGCTGAACTCTCGGATGCGGAACGGTTATTGACGGTGAGTGAAGCAATTCGGTCCCGCCATAGCTCGTTTGTCCCACGGACAGAAGATGACGGTCAAGTCCTTGTTCCTTCTTGCCTGCGTCGGGTTTTGCGTGAATGTCGGAGTTGTTGCTTTCGCCGGGTTCACTATGATCGCCAGAGTTGTTGCTTGCGCCGGGTTCGCATGAACGTCAGACCCTTTTATGCTTGGTTTTGCATGAACGTCAGAGCTCCGCTCCTTGGTTGGCATGAACGTCAGAACTCCGCTCCTTGGCTTTTGCCTAGCGCCGGCGGTAGTGCGTGCGTTCTTGTTTGCCTAGCGCCGGGGGAGCGCGTGCGTTCTTGTTTTGCCTTGCAGCGAAGCGGATGAAGGCGTTCTTGTTAGCCTATAGCGTCGGCAAAAATGCGCGCGCTCTTGTGTGCCTAGCGTCGGCGAAAATGCGCGCTTTCATGCTTAGCCCATCGTCCGCGAGATGGTTCGGGGAGTTGCCGTGATTAACGAATGCTACCTGGTTGATCCTGCCAGTAGTCATATGCTTGTCTCAAAGATTAAGCCATGCATGTGTAAGTATGAACGAATTCAGACTGTGAAACTGCGAATGGCTCATTAAATCAGTTATAGTTTGTTTGATGGTAACTACTACTCGGATAACCGTAGTAATTCTAGAGCTAATACGTGCAACAAACCCCGACTTCTGGAAGGGATGCATTTATTAGATAAAA